GGCCTTCTCTAGCTGCTGAGAAGGTCAGTGTTGTTGCCGAATGCTGTGGCTTTCACAGCTGAGTAGGTAAACAGTGCAACTAAGTGGAACCAGTTAGACAAGTGAAACCAAAAATAAAGATAAGGCTAAATATCGACTTTGGTAGATCAGCTTGCTTTTTTGTTTTTATAACAAAAATTAAGCTGGTTGATGGGGAAGAATGTGACCAATAAATGCTACCCACTCAAAGGACTTGTCGTTCATTCTTCAGCAAAGCTTTGCCAATCAATTACCTTGTGTTGTGCTAGGCAGCATTGGGGGATGGCGTGCAGAGACAGAGCTGGTATACTTCTCACTCTGCATAGGCTCACGGTCTAGTAAAGGGGAGTAGAAAGAGGTGTGGCTAACCAACCACATACAAGGCAGAATGAGGTTGTGGCTGCCCATCACCTAACCCAGCAAAGGCAGACTTTATCTGCCTTTGACTCTGTCTTACCTACCAAGATTCCAACTGCCTGTTCCCCAGCCCTGCTCTGTGCTCCAGCCCGGGCAGCTTCCACACATCTCCTTCCATGCTTATTCTGAATTCATTTTCCATTCATTCATTTTAAAAATATTTGAGTTTGTGTTATGTGCCAGCAAATAAGACAAGGTCTCTCATGGATCTTAAGGGCTAGTGGAAGAAACATAGTCAAACAATGCTGTGAGGGTGCGGGACATAGCTCGATGAGAGTTCCTAATAAAAAATGAACTAGACAAGGATTTCTATGGTATATGTGCTTATGTTTGTACACATACAGGTTATTTTATATAGAAATAGGAGCAAACTATACATACGTACTACCCCTTTCCTTTTCTGCTCCCTTCCCTTCCTTTCCTTTCCCTTCCCTTTTCCCCTTCCCTTTCCTTTCCTTGCCAAATTCAAGTTATGTCCAGCCTGACTTAAGTGTATAATTAGGAAACAGGGGCAAAGCATCATTAGCATATTAACACAAAAAAGTGTCCTTAGGTTATGAAAAATTGGAGTCCTTTTTTCCCCGGCAGATAAAGCTTTCATTTCAACTTTCTGCCATCCTGTAAATTTTGTAGTTTTTTCCCTTAGAATTTATTTTCTTCTCCCTTACACTTCTTATTCTGAAAAATTAAAAACCTCTTGTAGGTTTGAAAGAATGAACATTCACGTAGTCTTTACCTAAACTCACCATTAACATTTTGCTTCATTTACTTTATCTCTCTAGATTTAATCTTTCATTTTGCTGAATCATTTGACGGTAAATTGCAGACATTATGACATTCACCCCTAAATATTTTAGCATGTATCTCTTAAGAATGAAGAAAAATTCTCTTTTCTAGCCATAAAGCCAATTATCATACCAATGAAATTTAATATTGATCTAGCAATATTATCTAACATATAGTAGTTATTCACATTTTCCTATAGCCCCCCAAAAGTCATTTATGGCTATTTCTTTTAGAGCCATAATCTAATTAAGATTTATGTACTGCATTTAGTTACCTTGTCTATAAATCTCTCTAATCTAGAACTGTCTCCCTATCTTTTTTTGTCTTCCATAATATTAATAGTTTTGAAAATCTAGGCTAGCCATCCTGTAGAATGTTGCAAACATAGAGTTGTCTGATCATCTCGTCACTGTAAAATTCAGGTTATATATTAGTATTTTAGGAAGAATTGTAGTTAGGAGATACTGTGTCTTTTCCATTAAATCACAATCAGGAATATAAGCTTGTCCTCTTATTGGTGGTGTTAAATTTGGTTCTTTGTTTAAAGTGTTGTCTATCAGGTCTCTCTATTTGAGGATATTTTCCCTCCACGTGATATGTAATCTGTTGGGTGATTCCTTGAGAATTGTGAACGTTTCCCCATCCAACAACATTATTATTATTTTTTTAAAGCTAGGCTCTTGCTGTGTTGCCCAGGCTGGAGTGCAGTGGCATGGTTACATCTCACTGCAGCTTCAACCTCCTGGGATCAAGTGATCCTCCCGCCTTAGCCTCTCAAGCAGCTGGGACTACAGACACATGCCAACATGCCTGACTGATTTTTTTTTTTTTGTAGAGATGGGGTCTTGCTAAGTTTCTCAGGCTGGTCTCAAACTCCTGGGCTCCCACCTTGGCCTCCCAAAGTGCTGGGATTACGGGTGTAAGCCACTGCACCTGGCCTTTAACAACTTGATTTTAGCATTCATTGGTGATCTTTGTTCAATCAGTTATTACATTGGTGGTATTGCAGAAATGGTGTTTTTCTAATTCCATCATTCCTTTTTCAGGCATTTTTTTTTTTTTTTAAATAGAAGAGACCTTCTTGACACTTTTTTAGTATCCATATGGGCTCATGAATTTTTTTTAAAATTATTATTATCATTTTTTGAGACAGGGTCTCACTTCGTCTCCCAGGTTGGAGTGCAGTGGTATACTCATGGCACACTGTAGCCTCGACCTCCCAGGCTCAAACAATCCTGCCACCTCAGCCTCCCTAGTAGCTGGGACTATAGGCATGCATCACCATGCCTGGCTAATTTTTGTATCTTGTAGTGATAGGATTTTTCCATGTTGCCCAGGCTGGTCTTGAACTCCTGGGCTCAAGCGATCTGCCTGCCTTGGCCTCCCAAAATGTTGGGATTATAGGTGTGAGCCACCATACCTGGCCATATTATAATTTTTTTTAAAAAATTAAGAATATTTTATATTGAGGTATATGGATATTAAACACACAACTTGATTAGTTTTGACAAACATATATGCCCATGTAATGCCCACCCTAAACCACAAAAAGTTTCCTTTGAACCTTTTTCAGTCATTCCCTGACCCTCCTTCCCCTCAAAGTGGCAGCACTGATCTGATTTCTTCATTATTCTCTTTGATATTTAACTTGTCCCAAATATTGGCATTGAAAGCCCCATCCAGCTGGCTCTTTTTGACGTGTCTTCTCTAATCACATATAAGAAGATGTTTGCTTTATTCTTTTTAATAGCTGAAAATAGAGTTGGCACTCTGTATCCATGAGTTCCACATCCATGGATTCAACTAAGAAAATATTCAGAGGAAAAAAATTCCATAAAGTTCTGAAAAGCAAAATTTGAATTTGCTGCAACACCAAGTACTACATCGAATCCACTTGCACGAAGTGATGTATGGGTGTTATATTAGGTATTATAAGCAATCTTATATAATTATTTAAAGTATATTTATTATTTATATACTTTAAATATATATATTTAAAGTATTTAAATTATATGGGAGGATGATTTAAAGTATATGGGAGGATGTGTGGAGGTTATATGCAAATACCATGCCATTTTATATAAGGGACTTAAACATTGGCAGATGTTGGTACCTGTGGGTAGTTGTAGAACCAGTGCCCTGAGGCTGGCCGTGGTGGCTCATGCTTGTAATCCCAGCACTTTGGGAGGCTGAGGCAGGCGGATCACTTGAGGTCAGGAGTTCGAGACCAGCCTGGCCAACATGGTGAAACCCTGTCTCTATTAAAAATACAAAAATTAGCCGGGTGTGGTGGTGCACGCCTGTAATCCCAGCTACTAGGGAGGCTGAGACGGGACAATCACTTGAACCCAGGAGGTGGAGGTTGCAGTGAGCCCAGATTGTGCCACTCCACTCCAGCCTGGGCAACAGAGTAAGAACAACAACAAAAACAAACAAACAAACAAACAAGAAACACCCAGTGCCCCAAGGATGCTGAGGGATAAGTGTATCTAATGGTATTGATACTCCTTTAATAATTTCTCCATTAGTGGGCTTTAGGTAGTTTCATTTTTTAATCCCGTTACAACCATGCTGCAGCAAAGATCTTGGAGCACATATTCTGTTCTCTTACACTGATGTGAGTATAGGCTAGAGCTCTAGAAGTGGTATTTTATTTTATTTTATTTTATTTTGAGATGGAGTCTCGCTCTGTCAACCAGGCTGGAGTGCAGTGGCATGATCTCGGCTCACTGCAAGCTCTGCCTCCCAGGTTCATGCCATTCTCCTGCCTCAGCCTCCCCAGTAGCTGGGACTACAGGCGCCCACCACCACGCCTAGCTAATTTTTTTGTATTTTTAGTAGAGACGGGGTTTCACCGTGTTAGCCAGGATGGTCTTGATCTCCTGACCTCATGATCCGCCCACCTCGGCCTCCCAAAGTGCTGGGATTATAGGCGTGAGCCACTGCGTCCGGCCAGAAGTGGTATTTTAAAGTCAACGAGTATGCACATTTAAAATTTTGATCGATATTGCCAATACTTCCCTCCCCTCTTAAAAAGCATTATTAATGAAATTTTTACAGACACTGCTGGTTTTCCCATGGCCCCTCCAACATTGAATTTTATCTGCCTGTGTGTGTCTGGTGGCACAGGGTTTGAATTTGGACTTATCTTTGAGTAGAGTGAACATCCAAAGTATAGGTCCGCCTTTGTGGTTCTAAGCCCTCTAGTTTTGATTCGCATAGAAATGAAATCTCTCCTCAAGGAGAAATGTTTGCCATTCCTTGTCATTCAGTGTCACATTGACCATCACAGCCGGCTTTGGGCAGAGGGCATTCTTACTGTTTTTATTCTGCATTAACTTTACACAGGACATAAGTGAGGAAATGGAGGCATGGGGGGATGATGACATTGCCCCCAGGGTCTGATCTTCCTGAGCAGCCTCTATAAATTTGGTTCACAGTTACTGCTGTGTATTTTTACCCTTAAATAACTATTGGAACTGGTTTTTATTTTAGAATGAACCATGATGATTCTACGTTTGGGATAGCAGGTTTGTCCTTGTGTGTCTGTGTGTCTGTGTGTCTGTGTGTCTGTGTGTGTAGAGTGTGTGTGATCACTCTCTGAGGCCAGCAAGTAAACCAACGCTTTCTGTTTTTATTTTAAATATGAGTCTCAGATTAATTAAACACCTGTGTGGATGACTCATAACTTTTTCTCCTTTTTTTTTTTTAATAGATTGGGGGTTGTTTGAAAGCTTTTATCTCTTTACTGAAGTTGCCCATGTTGCTTTTCTTTATAGGTGTTTGAAGCTGTGATTTCATGGATCAATTATGAGAAAGAAACCCGTTTGGAGCACATGGCAAAGCTGATGGAACATGTCCGGCTTCCTCTCTTACCTAGGGACTACCTAGTCCAAGTGAGTGTTGTATGAAGAGCCAAGCACTTCTGTGTTCAGCCAGGCCTCTAGGAATAGCAGTGGGCAACCCTGGTTGGACGGAGTAGTTGAGGGGTTTAGTGGGTGGTTTCCATATGTGCTGAGGGAGCCAACCCACTGGGTTAAGTGTTAGGTGTTGTAAAGTTGAAGATCATAGGCTTGAAAATAGGACACGTAGGTTTCAGTCTCTGCTCTACTGCTTATTAGTTTTGGATTTTTATTTAACCTCTTCAAGCCTCAGTTTTTCTTCCATAGAACAGATATTATAGTAGAGCCCAGCAGGGTTGTTGTAGGGACTAAAGGAGTAGAGTATGCAAGTCAGCTGTTTAGCATGGAGCCTGGGGTAACAAATGTTCCATGAAAGTTAGCTGCCTTTGTTGTAGAAGACTGAAACAAGAAGGGTCATGTCCACAATGTTTCTATGTTCCCTTTTTGTCTTAGTTTTAGGCAACTTGAAGCCAAATTCAAGATTGTAAAAACTGGGTGCCTAGAATACGTAGTGCTTCCACTTCCTCTGAAGAGGAAAGAAAAATTAAGAATTATGGGGTTCCCTTATGGTGCCATATGTTTTCTCATTTAATCCTTATAATAACCCTGAGGGGCAAAGATTGTAACTCCTTTTTTACACATGTAGGCCTTGAGGCTTGTGGAGGTTGGGATTTATCAGGGGTCTCCATCCTTAGGGAGGCTCAGGATTCAACTCCATGTCAGTCTGGCTCTGCAGTGCATAGTTCTTCCACTAAGCTAGCTGCCACCATTGATACGCTCTTTTCTGCTTACCCATTACGTGACTTATTTTATATAGTAAATGGCATTAGATACTTTTATAAGCAGAGAATAAACCTTAAAATATATGAACAAAACAAAACATTGAGACAGCAGGTTAGCCCTCAGCTGTCTCCAAGGAGTCTCTGGAAGGAAGGGAAGGTGTGATGCAAGGATAAAGAGGAGGTTTAGCAGCCTAGCAGCCCAGCAGACCAACTCTTGTTACTTTCCAGCCATATAATACCAGGTACATACTTAACCTTTTTAAACCTCAGTTTTCTTATCTGGAAAAAATGGCACTTGCTTTATAGGATTGTTTGGGGATAAACAATAAAATGAGATAATCCATGTAAGGCCTATAATACAGTGTTCAGTGAATGTTACTGATCTTACTCGGTAGTTTTTGTGACCACTGCAGTGATTCTTAGTAGCAGGTGACACAGTATCCTCATGAGCATGTGTAAACTCCTCTGCTGGTAACACTTGTTGATTGCAGGTATGAGGGGTCAGTGAAATGTTCCCTGAATTGCCTTACTTCAGCCTCCTCAGGTGCTGAGGGATATGCTTGCAAGCTCTTAAATGGGGCATGCATGCTACTTTGGGTGGTACCACTGCCACCTGGTGGCAGCATATCTTTCCTTTAGAAAAGGTCCCCTAAGCGGAGGGAGTGAACCGGCCTGAGCATCCAATGTCAGTCAAACCTCCCACTGTCCTGTGGGAAGCTGGCCAGAGGTGGAGGAGGCACCTGGACTCCAGCATAGTCTTGCTTCCACAGGGAATGTTGGCGACCTGGGGACCTGGGTTCCAGAGAAAGCTAAAGCACCTTAGAGACCCTTGGTCACAAACTCCCATCAGGCATCCACAACTGAAACTTAAATGTCACCATTAGGAAATGGTTCTTGGGTTATTATGCCAAAGTAGAGTTTAGATCTGGAAAAGAAGGGGGTCGGAGGCAATGGGCATGAGAACTGTTGTGTGGGACTCCTCCCTTCGCCCTTTTTTCAGAAATGCCTTTTATCAGGTCTCTCAGAGTGAACACCTCTGGAAGGGGATGTTTCATTAACATTCATTTGACTTTGAAACTTCAAATGAGTATAATTGCTGGGATGGCTAATGGTGATGGGGAGGAGGAGGAGGAGGAGGAAAGGAAAGCCCTGGGCAGACCTCCACCAATGCTGCCTGACTTCTGGGAGAGGTTTTTTTTTTTTTTTCTTTCACAAAAGGTAGCATTTATTAGGCTTTTACTCAGCATTTAAAATATTGTACTAAATATATAATATATCGTGATAAAATATATATAACGTAAACTGTTATTTTAACCATTTTTAAGTGTACAATTTAGAGGCATTCATTACATTCAAATTCAGTACAACCATTACTATAAAGATTACAAAAACTTTTTCATCACCCCCAAAGTTGAAACTCTTGTACCCATGAAGCACTAATTTTCCAAGAGAACTTTTAATTCAAGCTGAGTAAGTTCTTCTGGAGAAATAGCTGCTCATGCATTTCTCCTTCCTTCCAAGCTTTTTTAGACATCATCTCCCACCCTTTTCATTTTGTAATTGACCCTAGAAGTTTATGATTTGTCTCAAGCTGGCTCAGTTCCTTACTGGGAGGGGGAAAAAAAAAACCTTCCAAGGAAAACAGTTCTTGGAGACTGTCTCTGGGGAGGGAGGTGGTCAGAGGTACACATAGGCCTTCTCTTGCCAATTGTTTTTTCCCTGCCAGCTCCAATGCTGCCCAGCAGGTGATGGCCCTGGCCATGCTTTCATTCCTACTGACAGATTGGGACCCAGGAGAGGCTCAGTCATGCCTTGTACATCACTGACTTGAGGGCTGAGATAATTGAGGTGGGAGGCCCTTCTCATTCTCTGACTGGACTTGAAGTCTTCAGGGTCAGAAATTTTGTCTTGTTTATCAGTTTTCTTCTTGGGGAACAGCACAGGACTGCCCAGCCAGGAGACATTCAATCAGTGTTAGCTGTTGAATAGAATTGATCTTTCCTAACACAAAGCAGCCTCAGAAGACCACACTGCCCATTCCAGATATACCACACAGTGATCTGACCTGGGCCAAAATGTGGAGATTCGAGAGTTAGAGCACCAGAATGGCTTCATGCTTGGTCTTGCTTATGAAACCTTTAGGCTTATATTTGCTGAGCACTTGCTTAGGTCCTAAGCGCTGGAATAGGAGGTGAAGAAGTCAGAGCCCCAGCTTAGATGGAGTCCTAGGTGAGGTCAATAGGTGGGACTTTGTGCAGGATAATTTTTCTGCTCTGATGTTGTTACTCTGTTAGAAAGAGCTCACTGGCCGATTTTCTGCCCTGAGACCTTCACTATAAGACAACAAATATGAATGTTTCTCCTTGACAAGCTTATTTTACTCAATGCCTCCAAAGGTTGGCTGATGGCTCCCACACCCTTTCCTCTTTCCCCTCACTCCTCCTCTCAGATATCTGTTTGCCCTAAACATTATAATGCATTCAAATCAGGAGAAATGTGGTTAGAGGCTTTCAGCATGGCTACTTGTCTTTTGTTTTGCATAAACTCATTTAAGCCTCAAAACAAACAAAACTAGTCAGGTTGTAGATACCTTTAATATGCCCATTTTACAGATGAGGAAACTGAGGATCAGAGATGTTAAGTAGTAGATCTGGTCTAATGCCAGAGCTTGATCCCTTATCCCACTGTGTTCTTAAAATTCAGGAGGTAAGCAGTAAGTTGTAACTCTTTGGCTTCTGAGATGATGTGGTGAAGGAGTGAATGAGTGTGGGAGTGCAGGAATGACTGAGCCCAGGGTGAAAGCTTGGGAAATGTGGCTGAGCTCTGCTCCAGGATCACCTGTGGATTATTACCTCTAGACGGTTGAAGAAGAAACTTTGATAAAGAATAACAACACCTGTAAAGACTTCCTCATTGAGGCCATGAAATACCATCTGCTCCCTCTGGATCAGAGGCTATTGATTAAGAACCCAAGGACCAAGCCCAGGACTCCAGTCAGCCTTCCCAAGGTAAGCCCCAGCCCAGTAACCGCCAAGAGTCAGGAGTGTGCCCTGGGAAAGTGGCCTTCCACTCCTGCCTCCAAGTCTTTCCTCACCCATGGCTGCCCTGCATCTGGGTTGCATTTACAACCTAGGAGATGGAGTCTGCTGGTTCCTCTTGAATCTGCTGGTACCTCTCTCTTCTGGGGTCTTCCTTTCCTAAGAGTTTCAAGGTAACCTCCAGTGTCATCAGGGAGGTTTGAGAATAACTCAGAGCTCTCTCTCACCCCCACCCTGACTTCTCATTTCACACCATGGCTTGTACTCTATTTCTGTTGGAAGCAGAGGAATGGCAATGTTGGTTTCACTTAGTGATGGCCATAGTATTCCTCTTTCTAGGCCATTCTTTGAGTTAGAATAGTCCTAGTCTGTTTCTTTCCCCCACTTCAGGGAAGGACAAAAAGGACAATTAGGGCTGCCAGAGGGAAGAAAAGGGGTTCTGAGAAAAGGACCCTGTCGAATTGAGGAGTTCGACAGGTCATGAAGCAGAGGAAGGAAATGGGAGAAATGAGAATTTGTGAGGGAGCAACCAGGGAAAGGGAAGGAAGACATAGGAGGGGACCCCATGATCTAGAGATCTAGAGTTTATGGTGTGTGCTGGCTGCTTTGGTTCCCTGCAAGTCTCCTTTCCTCTCTGATCCTCAGGCTCCTTATCTACAGAATGAACGATGCTCCACTTGATCCCTAAAGTTCTGTCTGGCTTGGCACCAAAGTAGTCGTTCTAGGAGTCTAACATGCTGATGTCTGGGGGAAGGAATCAGTCAACCCAAGAGGAAAGGTGGGAGGAGAGGAGTGGGTCATGCTGTCTCATTGATGACACAGTAGGCAGTACCAGGAAATTATTTAGCTCTTGCTTTGTCCTCCTCCTCCTCCTCTTTCCAGCTGGCTGCCGTCCTCCCTGCCTGCTTCTTCCAGGAAGGTTTCACAGTGGCTGGAGAAGCATGTTGTTTTCCAAGACCAGGTGTTGGAATTCTCTGAGGTTTGCAGGACCTTCTTTCCCCTCTGCTCCATGACCTTGGATCATGGGGAATATATTGGTTGCAATGTGAACAAATGTCTCAGTGTCCCAGATAATAATACAAGCGGCTAACCTTTATTGAGTGCTGAGGTTATCACTTGAGTATCTTATTTAATCTTTTCAACAACTCTACAATGTAAAGATAGTTATCCGAGTTTTATAAAGGAGGAAACTGAGGTTCAGAGAAGTTAATTTATTTGCCCAAGGTCAACACAGCTAATGTGGTAGAATCAGCATTTGAACTGAGTCTTTATCACTCTCCATACCTGTTTTCTGAACCCATACCATCCTGCACCTGGCTTCACCTTCGTAAACCTGAGAGTGCATACTTGCCTGCTGGCCTCATGTTGCCTAGTGCCGGTTAGAAGAAGGCATAGCTGCAAGGCAAGGCCTTGGTCTGGCTGGACATTGGTCTTACTGCAGGTTGATGCCTTTTGTTTTGTTTGGTTGGAATATTGCATAGAAACTTCTTCAATATTTTTCAAAATGAAAATAACTTAGCTTTCTTTAATTATAGACATATGTGCTTATTGTAGATTATTAAAAGGATACTACAATTTTGAAATTAAGTAAAAGTCACTTGAAATGTCTCCTAGGGTAAGAAATCTGCTATTATTTGGAAAGTTTTCTTTCAGACATGTCTCTGTGCACTTTTTCACAGATAGATAAAAATGTACAGTGTATCGCTACACAGATTGAAATATTTGCCCCCCATGCAGCCATGTGGTGAGGACTGCTTTTAATATTATCATATAGGTGAAATCAGCATTTAAATTGTAATAGTACCTGGTACTTAATTTTATGCACTATTATGTACATGTTATAGACAGTCCTCTACTGATGGGCTTTGCAGTAATTTCCTTTTTTTTTTTTTTTTAATTGTATCCTTTAAAAGATGGCATCAGGTTTGAGTTCATATTTCTTTCATTGGGAGTGAGATTCATCTTGGTTTCATATGGTTATTGGCAGTTGTATTTCTATTTTGGAGAATTCTCTGTTCATGTCCCTAGCTCATTTTTCTGTTAGATTGTATATTTTTTATTAATTTTTTTTTTATTCCTTTGTTTTCTTCTTGAGGCAGAGTCTTGGTCTTGTACCCAGGCCAGAGTGCAGTGGAGTGATCTCAGCTCACTTCAGCTTCAACCTTCCAAGCTCAAGCGATCCTCCTACCTCAGCCTCCCGAGTAGCTGGGACTGTAGGTGTGTGCCACCACACCCAGCTAATTTTTTTTCTTTTAATTTTTTTGTAGAGACAGGTTTTTGCCATGTTGCCTAGGCTGGTCTCGAACTCCTGAGCTCAAGCAATCCACCCACGTTGGCCTCCCAAAATGCTGGAATTATAGGTGTGAGCCACTGTGCCTGGCCTTATTTATAGTTTTTAAAGGCTCTTTGTACATTAAAGAGGTTAGGCCTTTGAATGTATATATTTCAAATATGTTTTTTCTTAGTTTGCAGTTTGTCTCTTGCTTATAGTAATTTTTTAGTCCAAAAAACCCCAGTTTTTAAGGAGTCAAATTGATCTATCTTTTGCTTTATAGCTTGGGTTTTGTGTCATGTTTAGAAATATTTTCTTTACTCTGAAATGATTTAAAGAATGTCCCCATGTTTTCTTCAAGTACCTTTATAATTTTTGTTTTACATTTGAATCTTTGATGCACTTAAAATTATTTTGTGTGTGTAAGGAGTGAGGTCAGGGATTCAGTTTTATTTGTATTGCAAATGATGAGCCAGTTGTCTCAAGGTTATTTTATTCATTAATTCCCCTTTTCCCCCATTGGTTTGAATACTATCTTTATTATGATCTAAGTTTCCACAAGCTTCATGTCTTGAGAATGTTGATTCTAAGTGCACTGCTTTTTATTTAGCATTTTTACTTCCCTGGGTTTTCAGCTGGTGTTCCGTCTGTGACATTTCCCTTTAGAAGCTGTGGTTCTCATCCTCTATAATATCAGATGAATGACATCTTTGCCTGAGGAGTGTAGCTTGGAGCTAAGGGAATGGTTCAGTGCTGGCCCAGCTTTTTTGTGTAGAAACCATACCTAGTGACTTCTCCTTTTCTGGACTCCATGTCTAGCTCTTACCACATATACCCATAAAAAGATAGTTTGAAAATTAAAGCCCAGTTTGTGCCTGAGCCTAGACGAAGCATGCTGAGAGCTGCTCCACCATCACCCCTGTTTCATCCTAGGGATTGAATCTGTAGTTGAGAAAGAGTCTACCCCTTGTTTCAGGAGGTCAAAGCCATCCTTCTGTCTACCCTACTCCTTAAGAAACATTTATTTTCTGAATGAAGACATTTAGATTCCTGGGCCTTCTGCAGGCAACTGAAACCATGACTTCCTTAGAATCTGTTAAAGAAAGAAATAAAGAAGACATCACTGCTGTTTGTCTCATTGTTCTCCTGTATTCAATCCTTGAATGATTTAAGGTTATGTTGTCTAACCTGCTTCTTAAACTATACTCTCATCACCATTGTTTGAGCACTTAAATTAGTGAGGGGATCCCCACTGAGGGCTTGAAGAATGAATGGGGTATGCTGAGGGAAATGATTACTTAGGGATTATCAGATCGTGTACTGTCTTAATAAATCATCACAGTAATAGGTCTGTACTATTCATATCCCCACTTTACTGAGATTACTCAGAGAGGTTAAGAAATTTGCCCAGTTAAGTACTGGCTAAGTGCAGTGCTGGGGTTTGGTCTGTCTCACTCCAAAATCCATGCTTTTCTTTTTACACCAAACTGCTTCCTGAGAAACAGCTTTGAGGTTTTGGTAGCGGTTTAAAGAGATTTCTTTTAGATTAGTTGAGGTATAATAATTTATATGCAGTAAAACTCACACTTTTTAGAGATATGTGATAAGATTTTACAAATGCACCATCATGTAACCACCATCCCAATCAAAACATAGAATATTTTAATCACTACAAAAAGTTTCCATGTGCTGCTTTGTAGTCAATCCTCTTCTTCTACCCCCAGCCTCTGACAACTACTGATCTGATTTCTGTCCCTACGGTTTTGCCTTTTCTAGAGTGTCATATAAATGGAATCATGCTGTATGTAGTCCTTTGAGCTTGGCTTCTTTTTCTTACCATAATGCATTTGAGATTCATCCCCGTTGTTGCATGTATCAGGAGCTCATTCCTTTTTATCACTAAGTAACATTCCATTGTATGGATGGACCATAATTTATTCATTCACCAGTTGGTGGACATTTGGGTATCCAGTTTTTGGCTGTTACAAATAAAGCTGCTGTGATTTCACTTACAGATCTTTGTGTGGACATATGTTTTAATTTCTCTTGGGTAAATACCTAGGAGTAGGATTGCTGGGTTATATGGTAAGTATATGTTTAACTTTATAAGAAATTGATAAATTGTTTTTTAAAATGACTGTACTATTATGCATTTCCACCAGCAATATATGAGTTTCAGTTATTCTGCAGTCCTGCTACTACTTGACATTATCTATTTTAAAAAAATTTTAGCCATTCTAGTAGGTATGTGGTGGTATATCACTATGGTTTTAATATGCATCTCTCTAATCGCTATGCAGTTAAGATTTTCTCATGTGCTTATTTGCCACCCATATTTCTTCTTTGGTAAAGTGTCTGTTAAAATCTTTTGCCCATTTGAAAAGTTGGGTTATTATTTTCTTATTGAGTTGTAAATGTTCTTTATATATTCTGGATACAAGTCTTTAATAAGATATATATTGTGTAAATATTTTCTCCCAACCCGTGCCTTATATTTTCATTTTCTTAGCAGTATCTTTGGAAGATAGTTTTTTAACTAATTAATTTTTTAATTGACAAAAGTTATATGCATTTATCATGTACAACATGAGGTTTTGAAATATAGTTACATTGTGGAATGGCTAAATTTAGCTAATTAACATATGTATTACCTCATATACTTATTTTTTTTTTGTGGTGAGAACACTTAAAATCTATA